CCGACTACAAATGAGGAAAAGAGTGAGATGAAGAATATTCCTTACTTTTTAGTTGTAGGGAGTTTGATGATGCTATGGTTTGTACTCGGCCAAATATAGCTCATGAAGTTGGAGTTGTGAGCAGATTTCTTTCTAATCTAAGGAAAGTTCATTATGAATGTGTAAAATGGATCTTAAAATATTTGAAAGGCAGTTCCAGATTGTGTTTGAGTTTTGAAGGTTCGAAGGCAGTATTACATGGTTTTGCGGATGCAGATATGACAGGTAATCTCGATCACAGGAAATCTACCTCAGGTTGGTTGTTCACTTTTACAAGGTGAGTTGTATCTTGACAGTCCATGTTGCAGAAGTGTGTTGCTTTATCTACAACAGAGGCGGAATATATTGCAGCTGTAGAAGCCAATAAGGAGATGGTTTGGTTGAGAAGATTTCTGCAGGAGTTAGATTTGCAACAAGACAATTATCAAGTTTTCATTTATAGTCAGAGTGCTCTTGATTTGAGTAAGAATTTTACATTTCACTCCAGGACAAAATAATGACGTGAGATAGTTGTTGAGAAAGAGGAACTAAAGCTACATAAGATTCACACAGATAAAAATCCAGCAGATTTTTTAACAAAGACCGTTTCCATAGAAAAGTCCTAGCTGTGTCGACGATTGGCCTACATGAACTCCCAGTAAGGAGTTACAGATGGCTTACCACTCGTTTGGCTGGAGGGGGAGATTGTTGTGGATCCAGCCTAATTGGGGCCCACAAGGACTAGGCTAATATCTTGAATCCTATTAAGAAAAGGATTTGAGGGACTTATTCATAATTTGAATAGGAAAGGAGGGCCTAGAGATGAAATTTCTTTATTAAGGGAATTAGACACGTGAAGAACACAACCCTGTTTTTCTTGTAGCTACAGTAACCCGAGACTGAGGAGAGAGGGGGGGGGGGGGGGGAGAGAAGTTAAGCATTCGCGGATAGCTCAGTTGTCTGATTGTACTGATTCAAAAGCCCGTTGTCTTTCAAGAAAGGATGACGGCCATACGAGGGGTATGATGTTTGATTTATCCGCCAAAGTTAGAGATTTGTGGTGAGATGGGTTTTGGGTATTGGTGGGCCTTCTAGAGGTAACACTATATTTTCTCTTTGTGATTTGATCCTCATGATTCGGGTGTAACTTGAAGGATTGTAACTCGTCGATGATAGTAGAATATGCGGCTGCTCGACTGGATTGCCCCGATGGACGTAAGACGATTTGCGAACGCACCGTTAAATTTTGGTGTTTGCTTAGCGTGTAGTATTTTCATTGGTGTCGTTATTTGTTTAATGTTTTAATTCCGCAAGATTAATGTTCAATAAAATTCCCTAATAAAAAATAGAAAGAGAAGCTGATATTCATTTAAAACTCGAGCCTCCCGTTCCAATGCTGTGCACTTTTAGAAGGGTTAAGAAGTGAAGAAAATTTGGCTTCTTTTTAAGCATCTCGTCGTCCTTTCCTTCCCCTCACTCACTAAAAAATTTATAAGCAAGTAGCAATTTAGGATGTGTTACCATTAGTAACCTTTCAACGCACCGCTTCCTCTCCTCTTTAAAAAAGCTATCGCAAACCTACATAATCTCTTGCTAACTTGCTAGCCTAACACCCCATCCAAGTGTTGTTTTGGGCTTCTTAAGAAGAAGCAACCTAGTTTATAGGAGAGAAGATCATAATGGAATAATGACTTATTATTCATACAAATCTGCCCCAGAGTGTACGCCATCTCTTCGGGAAGGAATATAGGATCCACCATTAAGGATAGTAGATAAAGCATAGCATAAATAAAACAAAATAAAAATAAAAAGTATAAAGTCGCCAAATACGCAGACAGGCGGCGGGTGGGCAGGCGGGGGCGGCGCGGCGGGCGGCTGGGCGGCAGACGCCGACGGGCAGCGGACGGCGACGGGTGGTGGCGGGGTGACAGACGACGACGAGCAGCGGCGGCGGGGCGAGCGGCGGTGGCGACGGCTAGAGGTGGCGGCGGGGCGGGTGTGCGGCAGGCGGCGGGCGGTAGGCCGCAGACAGTGGTGGCGGCAGGGCGAACGACTGACGAGGCAGCAGCGGGCGGCGGCGGGCAAGGGTGGCGGCGGCGGGCGACGAACGCGACGAGCAAGCGACGGACCGACGCAACGAGCAGCGCGGGCGGGGTGGCGAAGACGACGCGACGGGCATCGGTTTAGACGAAAGAAACGGCAGCGGGGCGGTAGCGGACCCGAAACCGGTGGCAAGGCTGGTGGGCGGCGGGCGCCGACGAGCATGCGGGCGGGCGCGCGAGCGGCGACGCGCGAGCGGCAGCGGTGCGCGGACCGGGCGGCTGGCTTAGATGAAAAACACGGAATCTCAAAACACTTTTTGGTGTTTTAAGAAAATTGCGTTTTATTTTTTGGATTTTGTAAAGGGTTGGAAGTCAAAATAATCGCCGCCCGGTTGCCAAACAGTTTCATGTTTTTTTTGAAAAAAAAAACGAAAAAACGGCAGAAAACGGCATGGTTGTGGCCCAACGCTCATTAACTATTCTCAAACATGTTCTCTATTTTCATCTGTAAAGGATAAACTACAATACTAACCAATGAAAGGAAATACAATTTAGAAAGGTTTTAATCCTTATCTCTATCTCCATACTCATGTTCAAAAACTGAAATGAGAAAGGAGCATATCAACCATACATGAGAAGACCAAGTAAACCTTAATCTAAGAATTTGCCAGGAGTTAGTGTCCAACAATTTAGCAAAATTGAAGCAAAGCCATGTGAAAGTTGTTTAAAAAGAGAAAAGAACGCCCAAGCGCCTAACTGAAAGTAAGTAATGTTGGATCCTTATGAGGACAACGTGGATTCTCATATTTGCAAAGCATGATACTAACACCATTCATGATAGTATCAAAATTTCAATATAGGGTCCGGCCTGGGGGCATCCGTGTTTGATGCAAATGATAGT